GGGCTGAGGGCAGGAGGTGGAGGTGAGGGCTGGGAGTGGGGGTGGGGCTGAGGGCCGGGGTGCAGACGAGGGCCAAGGAGAAAGGCTGTTGGCCATTGGGGCAGAGGATTGGCTGAAAAGCTGTTTCGACCAATCAGTGGTTGGCAGTTGCGGGAGAGGGGTGGGTATTGGGCCCCTGTGTACTCTGAAGCCTACTGAGGTAGAGGGCAGGGCCGCTGCCATGACATCTGATAGTCCCTTGATTGTGCGAGGGGCCCTGCAGCTGATAGGTCAGGAGTGATGCAGGATTTTGCCTGAGTGTCAGTGGGTCCTTAACATGGTTCCAGTTTGGACCCCCCCCCAGCATGTCTTGGACCCCTCCCTCCCTCCTGTCTCTGCTCACGTTTCACCCTCTCTCTGTCTCTGGGGCACCCTCCCCACCCGCTCAGTCTGACCATCTCTCTCCCACCCCCCTGCCCGTCCCTGCCTGCAGCTGAGCGGCAGCATGATGAGCCTGTACAGCGACAGCGACGTGGGGCAGGTGGAGGTGCAGGGCTGCATCCAGTTCTCCCTGCAGTACGAGGCCAGGAAGAAGGAGCTGCAGATCCAGGTCATCCAGTGCCGGGACCTGGCTGCGGCCAAGAAGCAGAGATCGGACCCGTGAGTGCTGCGGCAGGGGAGGGGGACGGGGGGCGGCCCGCCCGGCCTGATGTGACTGGGCCCGGATGGCCCTGCCAGGTGGGAGGGGCTGCCAGGTTTCTGCTCATCCTCTGTTGGCCAGCCTGCCCGCCCCATGGCGCGCCCCTCACAGCCCCAGCAGGGACGCCACCGCTGGGGCCCATGTGGCTTTAGCCTGAAACCTTCCCCCCTCCTCTGCGGGATCGGGGCTCTGTCCTAGCTCTCCCTGCAGACTGGGGACCAGGTCTCTCTTTGCTGCCTGTTACCCGCCCTGGCAGAGACCAGGGCTCACTGCCTGCCCTGCCCCCGCAGCTGGCCTTCGCAGAGCCGACAACGGTGGTTTAGATGATGATGCAGAGATGGTATCAGGCTGGGAGGGGTTGCAAGTGCTTTGGAGGGGAAGGCTGGAGATGCCAAGTGATCTGGACAAACCAGAGAAAGGGTCAAAGGTAAATGGGAGGAAATTCAAGGACACATGCAAAGAACTCCGCACACGTACAGAATGGGAAAAGGCAGCTGAGGTGGGAGCACGGCAGAAAGGGAATTAGGGGTCACTGTGGCCCACACGCTAAATATGAGTCAGCCGTGTGGCACTGGTGCAAAAAAAAAAAAAGCAGACACGACCCTGAGATGCATTAAGAGGAGAATTGTGAGCAAGACACGAGGCGTCATTCTTCCGCGCTGCTCTGCGCTGGCTAGGCCTCAGCTGCAGCGTTGTGTCCAGCTCTGGGCACCACAGTTCAGGAAAGATGTGAACTTCCGGAAGGGGGGTTCCAAAGAGGCTGGAGAGAGGCTGTTCTCAGTAGTGAGGGATGGCAGAACGAGGAGCAATGGGCTCAAGTTACAGTGAGGGAGGTCTAGGTTGGATATTAGGAAAAACGATTTCCCTAGATAGTCCTCTGTTTTTTATTTCAGCTACCCCAGACTAACACGGCTACATTTCTAGCACTATTTCCCTAGGAGGGTGGGGAAGCACTGGGATGGGTCCCTAGGGAGAGGATGGAGTCTCCACCCTAGAGGTGTTTAAGTCTCAGTTTGACAAAGCCCTGGCCGGGTTGATTTAGTTGGGATTGGTCCTGCCTTGGGCAGGGGGCTGGACTTGATGACTCATGAGGTCTCTTCCAGCCCTAGGATCCTATGGACAAATTGGCTCAAGTACAGAGAAGCGCTGTACAAATGATGAAAGGGCTAGAAAACATGAGCTAGTAGGCGGCTTAGGCGGCCGTGCTCTGGTTCTTCAGGCAGGGGCTGGTGGTGTGGAGGGTGCAGGAGCCCGGGCAGCGGGCGGGGGCGTGTGGGAGGCTCAGGACAGGTGGTGAGGTGTTAGGGAGCTCAGGGCATGGGGAGTGCAGGATTCAGGGCAGGAGGCTGCCAGGTCTGGGGGGCTCTTCCAGGAGGCAGCTCTTGAGGGGAGGGGGGCAGACCTGTACCACCTAGCCGCTCCTGCGGGGGAGTTTTCCCGGGGGGGCGGGGCTGGCCCCAGCAGCTCCTCAGGGGGAGGGAGGCTGTGCTCACCAGCCCCAGCAGTACTTCTGGGGGGCGGAGGGGGCTGTGGCGGGGCCAGTGAGCAGCAGGGCTCCTCCACAATCTGGCACTGGGGCTGAGGGCCAGGGAGGAAGGGTTTGGGGCAAGGGGGGGCCACTTGTGGCCAGCAACATTGGCCCTAGCTGGCCGCTCTCGTCTTGGTGCGACTGCCCCCTGCTGGTCACTCTGCAGAGCAACAGTCCCCTGTGCTGGAGGCCCCTAGAGGTCATTGAAGAGCATATGACCACTGAGCTCCTCCACAATCTGGCACTGGGGCTGAGGGCCAGGGAGGAAGGGTTTGGGGCAAGGGGGGGCCACTTGTGGCCAGCAACATTGGCCCTAGCTGGCCGCTCTCGTCTTGGTGCGACTGCCCCCTGCTGGTCACTCTGCAGAGCAACAGTCCCCTGTGCTGGAGGCCCCTAGAGGTCATTGAAGAGCATATGACCACTGAGCTTGCAAACCCTGACCTTGCATGACATTAGGGCTGCGTCTAGACTGGCAAGTTTTTCCACAAAAGCAGTCGCTTTTGCAGAAAAACTTGCCAGCTGTCTACACTGGCCGCTTGATTTTGCGCAAAAGCACTGATGTTCTACTGTCCGAAATCAGTGCTTCTTGCGCAAATGCTTTGACATTCCCATTCAGGCAAAAGCCCTTTTCCAGAAATGCTTTTGCACAAGAGGGCCAGTGTAGACAGCTGAAAACTGTTTTGCGCAAAAAAGCCCTGATGGCGAAGATGGCGATCGGGGCTTTCTTGCACAAAACCACGTCTAGAGGGGCACGGATGCTTTTCCACAACAAGTGCTTTTGCGGCAAATCATCCGTGCCAATCTTGACGCTCTTTTCCGCAACTGCTTTTAACGGAAAAACGTTTCCATTAAAAGCATTTGCGTAAAATCATGCCAGTCTCGACATAGCCTAGGCTAAAGAGGAAGCTGCAGCCCAAATTTGGTGGGCCTAGCTCTTACCTTTTAGGAGGCGTTCTTGAACACATGCACTCGCAGACGAAAGGCCTCATGGACAGACAGACAGATGCACAAACACTCTTATGGCTCTAGCTATAGATAGACGAGGGAAGCGTGAAAGAATTGGATTTGTTTAGTCTGGAAAACAGAAGCCTGAGAGGGGACATCACTGCTTTCAAGTAACTAAAGGATTTTACAAGGAAGCGGGAGAAAAAAATCGTCTCTTTAACCTCTAGGATCGGCCGAGAGCCAATGGGCACAAATTACAGCAAGGGAGGGTTAGGTTGGACACTAGGAGAAACGTCCTACCTGTCAGGGTGGTTAACCCCTGGAATAAATGACCTAGGGAGAGTGTGGACTTGGCATCATAAGACATTTTTAAGCGCAGCTTAGCCACACACCTGTCAGGGATGGTCTAAATCAGTGGTTCCCAAGCGATGGTCCCTGGACCCCCTAGTGGTCTGCAATGGTACTGCAGGGGGGGGGGGGTGGAAAGTTTGTTTTTTTTTTTTTTTTTTTTTCCCCGCGAGGAGGGGGGGGGGGGGCTCAGTGAAATTTTAATAAGTGAAAAGGGGTCCATACGCTTGAGACGGTTGGGCACCGCTGGCTAGATGGTGCTTGGTCCTGCTGTGAGGCAGGGGGCTGGCCTAGGAGCCCGCGCGAGGGTCCTTCCAGGTCTGTGATTCTCTAGCCAGTGGCCTAACTCTCTGCTAGCGCTGATCCTTCCATAACTTGCATCAGGCCCCAGCACCCCAGCTGTAGGTGGGATCCCTGCCATGAGAAGTGGGCCTATCTTCGCCCTACCCCCCCATCAGGAGTTCCCAGGGAATGCCCGCCACCGCTTGGCCGAGCAGCTGGCCAGCCGCAGGGCTCCACTCGACTCAGCCCTGCGACCATACGCGGGTGCCCTCGGCTAACTGGATCAGCAGCAAGGAGCCAACCCCTAACGGCCATAGCTACACTGGCAGAGCCCTGGTGTGTCCCCCCCGCCCCCGACATCAGCGTATGCTCCCTGCCCCAGGTACGTCAAGAGCTACCTCCTGCCCGACAAGTCCAACCACAGCAAGCGCAAAACGGCTGTCAAAAAGCGGAGCCTGGACCCCGTCTTCAACGAGGCACTCAAGGTGAGCAGGGGGCTGGGAGTGGGGCAGGCTTATGGGTGGAGGGGCCCATGGGAGCCAAGGGACTTGGCCAAGAGCAGCTGGCATCGCTGGTCTTAGGGATTCTCCATCACCCCTGGAGAAGGAGCAGCGAGGGGGGGTG